GGATCTACAAGCTCTCTGCATTCTCCACAAAACTTCTGTGGCCTTTCTGATCCAGGGCTATTTTTAATTTCTGCCCTCTTGGTTTGACTTCTACAAGTTCCTGATCTGGGTTTGGGTCTGAGCAAGTTGATGCTGCCGGACTCTGCCTTTGTCAGCCAGCTGAGAACTCAACTGGTTTAGAGTGGCAGAGCTATAGGTTCTTCTTTGATCTGAGATTTCTGTCCTGGTCATTCCTCGGTAGGCTGTGCTAGAGTTGGAAGTGAGAACCTGCTCTATGCCTGAGGTCTGAGGCACACCTTCACTGTGGCTGCTGTTGCTGCTGCTGCTGGCTTCTTCCTCCCTCCTTTCTCCATATGCAACTCAGGGCCTCCCTACCTGGAATGCCACCACTGTGGGCAAGTCCCCTGTTTAGTTTGCCCTGGATGTGCAGCCCAGAACTGGATATTGGGCAATGAAGTTGCCAGTGGACACTCAGCTCAAGATGTCCATAAGGCAGTTGGACATGTAAGTCCAGAGGTCAACAGGGAAGTTAGGGCTGGATAAGTAGACTTGACAATCATCAACAATAGGATGACCATTGAATCCATGAGAGTGGATGGGAAATAGTATAGAGGGAGAAGAGCTCTGAGAAATACTCATAACTGGAGGGGCTGAGGGTGTCCATTGGAAAGCTCCTCCCAGATGCTCCACCCATTTAAGGAGTTGCTCAGGGTATTCATCTCATGATTTCCCACTCCATTAATCTCCTGGTCTTCCTATTTCCCAGAAACTCGAGGAAATCAGCTCTCTAATGGTCACCAACTCAGATTATTTCCCAACCAGTCAAAGGACTTCATCAGACCCCAATTTCAGGTAGCTTTCCCTTCCCCTCCTTCAGCTTCTTTTTACATGTTTTCTGCTCCTTTATATTGCAAGCTCTTAGGGGGCAGGAACAATCTGATGCCTTTCTTTGTATCCTCAGAGCTTAGCAGACTGCCAAACCTACAATTACTTAATAAATGTTTATTGACTGACTCTCAAGGTTAGTGGGCATGACCTGGATGAAAATACAGGAAAGAAGACTGACAAGGAATGGTTAGATAGAACTAGAAGAAAGAAGTGTCCTGCAAACCCTAGAGAGGGGACAATGAAGAGAACAGCATCCAACAGCATCCAAGGCTGCAGATAAAGGACCACTGGACCATTAGATCTGGCAAAATACCTGAACATATCTCCCTCTCTGGCCTACTTTCCCAACTTGCATTTATTGGTTGGGTTCCCAGAGGGCTACAGTTATTTGAGGTTCGGGGGGGGGGGTGACTGTGGGTCTGCATTCCCAGAACTACAGCTTTTACATCCCCACTGTTGTGTTCACCATTAGCAATTGGTTAGTGACCAAAGTAAACTAGCACTTAGCAAAGGCATTTAGCAAGATGGAGTAGTAAAAACATCAGTCACAAATATTGCCCCCCCATAAACCTGGGATGCTCTCTAACATACAGAATCAAGGGGAGCAACGTATTTATGTTTGTTGTTGCTGTTGAGTTGTTTCACTGTCTAACTCTTTATGATGCCATTTAGGGTTTTCTTAGCAGAGATACTGGTGTGGTTTGCCTTTTCCAGCTCATTTTACAGATGAGGAAACTGAGGCAAACAGGCTTAAGTTACTTGCCCAGGGTCACACAGCTAATAAGTGTCTGAAGCCAGATTTGAAATCAATGAGTCTGGCTGCAGACACCTCCCTCTGTGCACCATGGCACCACCTAGCTGCCCAAGGACATGGCAAATGGCCATCCCATCTAGGCCCCAAGTTCTCCAATGAGGAAAGTCCAGAGGTCCTAGCTACCACTTGGTGAGGCAACCACCTACTTCACCTGTAGGGAGCTGTGTTGTCCAACTGGCCAGTTCTAGTTTGGTCCCCAGTGCTCAACTTCTTTTCTACTCACAGAGGTTGCTGTTTGTCCTTCATTCTCAAAGACAACCACAACATCAGGAAGGTGATGCCATGACATGCAATTGAATTGGATTTAAGTGAAGGAGAGCTGGGCAAAGTCACCAGCCTCACTTTCTCCTCCGGAGCCATCTGGGTTCAGTGGCCAGAGATCAGGACAACTGGAGATGGCCCAGGGTGCAGTGGGGATCCTTGACCTTTTCAAGCTAAAATTCATTAACAGGTCTCAGTTTGACTGAGGCAAAATCTATTCAGTGATTAAGGCTTAATAAAAAATGAAGCAAAGAAAGGCCTCTTAAAAAAAATTGATCTGGGAGGGGAAGACCCTCAGGATTTCTGGCTAAAACAGAAACAATTGGTATTCACATTCATTCTGAGCCAATCAGGGTCCAAACTATTGCCAAATAGGGCTTGGCCTGGGACCTATTATTGGCCAATCAATGAGAGCCAGAGTGATCTGGGGTTGAAGAGGAAAAGAGAAAAAAAAGTTTCAGAGATTAAAAATTTACATTCCCTTTGGGCAAAGCACCTCCAGGTAAGGGTATGATACCCTATGTAGACAGAGAGGTGGAAAAGAAAAGAAAGGAAAGGAAAGGGGAAAGAAAAGAAAAGAAAGAAATTAAAGCCATCTATAGTCATATGAAAAAATGCTCGAAATCACTATTGATTAGAGAAATGCAAATCAAAACAACTCTGAGGTACCACATCACACCTATCAGATTGGCCAAGATGATTAAACAGGAAAATGATAAATGTTGGAGAAGATGTGGGAAAATTGGGACACTAATGCATTGTTGGTGGAGTTGTGAAATGATCCAACCATTTTGGAGAGCAATTTGGAACTATGCCCAAAGGGCTATAAAAATGTGCATACCCTTTGACCCAGCAATAGCACTTCTAGGGCTGTATCCCAAGAGATCATAAAAATGGGAAAAGGACCCACATGAACAAAAATATTTATAGCAGCTCTTTTTGTGGTGGCAAAAAATTGGAAGCTGAGAGGATGCCCATCAATTGGGGAATGGCTAAACAAGTTGTGGTATGTGAATGTAATGCAATACTATGGGGCTATAAGAAATGACGAGCAGGCTGACTTCAGAAAAACCTGGAAAGATTTGTATGGTGTGATGCTGAGTGAAGTGAGCAGAACCAGGAGAACGTTGTACACAGTAACAGTCACACGGTGCAATGACTAACTTTGATGGACTTAGCCCTTCTCAGCAAAGCAAGGAACTAAGACATCTGCAAAAGTCTCACGATGGAAAATGCTATCCACATCCAGAGAAAGAACTATGGAGTTTGAATGCAGATCGAAGCGTAATATTTGCTCTTTTTTTCTGTTTTGTTTAGTTTCCTCTTTCTTGTGGTTCCTCCCGTTGATTCTAATTCTTCCTTACAACATCACTAATGTGAAAATATGTTTAATAGGAATGTACATCATATTGTGCCTATATCAGATTGTGCACCATCTTAGGGAGAGAGAGAAAAATTTAAAACTCAAAAATTTATGGAAGTCATTGTTGATAAATAAAAATAAAATAATAAATTAATAAAAATGATTATTATATTTATTATATATTATAATTAGTATTATAATAATAAAAATAAATTAATAAAAACAATATATAAAAATAAAAACAAAAATGGAAAGAAAGAAAGAAAGAAAGAAAGAAAGAAAGAAAGAAAGAAAGAAGGAAAGAAAGAAGGAAGGAAGGAAGAAAGAAGCTGTATTGCCCAACTGGCCGGTTCCAGTTTGGTCCCCAGTGGATAACTCCTTTTCTACTCACAGAGGTTGCTGTTTGTCCTTCATTCTCAAAGACAACCATGACATCAGGAAGATGATGCCATCATTCAATTGAACCGGATTTATGCAAGAGAGGGTTGGGCAAAGTCACCAGCCTCACTTCCCTTTCTTTCTTTTTTCCTTCCCTTCCCCTTTCCCTTTTTTTCTTTCCTTCCTTCCTTCCTTCCTTCCTTCCTTCCTTCCTTCCTTCCTTCCTTCCTTCCTT